CGCTACATGTCAAACACACACCGCTACATGTCAAACACACACTGCTACATGTCAAACACACTCAGCTACATGTCAAACACACTCTGCTACATGTCAAACACACACCTCTACATGTCAAACACACACCGCTACATGTCAAACACACTCTGCTACATGTCAAACACACACCTCTACATGTCAAACACACACCGCTACATGTCAAACACACTCTGCTACATGTCAAACACACACCTCTACATGTCAAACACACACCGCTACATGACGAACACACACCGCTACATGTCGAACACACACCTCTACATGTCAAACACACACCTCTACATGTCAAACACACACTGCTACATGTCAAACACACACTGCTACATGTCAAACACACACTGCTACATAGACCGCACATAGACGGCGTCTCCTCCTTCGTACTTCCTTTCGGGCGGTCTTCTCACGGCGAGGTCCTCCCGTTTTCCTTCTACTCCTGAGCGCCCCTTAGTGGTTGTCCAATCTTCGAACTTATGACACAATTGTCTTCACTTTTTCATGACCCTAGGTTTTTTACACGCTTAAAACTAAACTCAAAATTACAGTTTTTAAAAAAACGTAAAACTGTGTGTTTTAATGAATGCATACAATGTTTCACGTTAGTCACAGTCTGTGTTTCATTTAGGTTAACGTACAGTTCAGCACATCAAAGATACATTTTACTTCTTAAACAGCTTCAATTTAACACATTTCAGTTATAGATATATGATCACACAGCCTTTTTGAAGTGTCCACTCGTAAAACGCTGCTACCTAGCATTTCTTGTAACATCTGAGCCAATGTGATCTTCCCTCTTTGACTCTTAACATGTTAGCCGAAGCGCGGGTTTTTCCACATATCTGACGGCCTCATTTGTCTTGCTACAGTGAGCCTTGTCCATTTAACAAATGATTCTCAAAACCCCCTGCTGGAGTTTTCTTACACCTCCTCTGGATGGGACTTTTCCATGGCTCATGAATTTGGACCTTCTGACCGCATCGGCAAACCTCGTCAGTTCAAACGGGATTTTCCACTGTCGTTCTTTCTGGCTGACAGCTGAGGCTTGAACACCGTCGGTCTCTGTAGGCTTCTGAGACACAGTCTGTATCTACATGCAGCCTGTTGTACTTTAAATTACAGCATTTTCTATTGATTCATCCCTTTTTCTACATATCACACAATTATGTCTTGTAATAAACACTCATGCATTCTACTAATACATAGGTTTGTGACTAATGATTGTAAAGAAGATAACACACCTTCTGTCATTGCAATATTCACTTCAATGTCAAACACACTGCTAAATGTCAAACACACACTGCTACATGTGAAACACACACTGCTACATGTGAAACACACCGCTACATGTCAAACACACACTGCTACATGTCAGAAACACACTGCAACACATCATCAAAGGCACACTACACATCATCAAAGGCACACTACACATCATCAAAGGCACACTGCTATCAACGGCACACCGTGACATGCCATCAAAGGCACACTACGCATCATCAAAGGCACACTACACGTCTTCAAAGGCACACTACACATCATCAAAGGCACACTACACATCATCAAAGGCACACTACACATCATCAAAGGCACACTACACGTCATCAAAGGCACACTACACGTCATCAAAGGCACACTACACGTCATCAAAGGCACACCACTACAGGTCATCGAACTCATACCGCTACACACACACACAAAAGAATCATCTCAATAATACCAATGCTTAAACATTCACACAATTAACATCTCAGCTCCGTGTCTCTTAGATTATAACGGTAAACTGTGCACGCCTCATCAAACCTGACCAACACGCCACCAACGGCATCGTGCACGTCATCGACCGCGTCATCACCGCCATCTCCAGCGACATGCAGACCATCATCGACATCGATGAAGACCTGGAAACGTTGCGTGTAAGTAAACYAAACCGCGGATTAGTGACTTCCTGTGTTTACGGCGTGACGTCCATCTTTCTTTTCCTGTAGGCGGCCTTCGCTGCTGCAGGCCTGACCACCCTGCTGGAGAGCGAAGGTCAGTACACCATCTTTGCTCCCACCAACGACGCCTTTCAGAAGATTCCTCAAGAGACCCTGAACAGGATCTTGGGAGACCCAGTGGCTCTAAAAGGTGACCACCGGTCCGTTTGACATCTTTCTATCTACTCAGAACCCTTAAGTTCACCCGTCTCCCTCATCCAGACCTGCTGAACTTCCACATCCTGAAGCACCTGCAGTGTGCCGAGTCCATCGTGTCGGGGTCCTCCATGGAGACCCTGCAGGGCACCTCGCTGGAGGTCGGCTGTGACGGAGACCAGATGACTCTGAATGGGAAGGCCGTCGTCACCAAGAAGGACCAACTGGGAACCAACGGAGTCATCCACTACATCAACGAGCTGCTCATCCCAGACTCAGGTACTCACTCTGCAGCCTCGCCGTGTCGTATTTCCATCGAATGAGCAGTAATAACTTGTCGTCTGCAGCCAAAACTCTTCTGGAGCTGGCCGAAGGCTCAACTGTTTCCACTGCAACCAGATTGTTCGTGGATGCTGGCCTCTCCCCGCACCTGACGGGGTCGGAGGCTCTGACCATGCTGGCTCCCCTGAACGAGGCCTTCAAAGGTAACGCTCCACCTTCGACGCTCGTAGACAGACAGGAAGCAGGTGTGTTTAACGCATCTGCCTGCTTGCGTCTCCCAACAGGAAGCGTGACGATGACTCCTGAGATGAAGAAGCTGATGACCAACCACATCCTGAAGGAGCAGCTGTCCTCCAAGTCTCTGTACCACGGTCAGGAGCTGGAGACCCTGGGGGGCCTCCAACTGCGGGTCCTCGTCTACAGAAATGTAGGAAACGTTGTTACGTCTCCTCCTAGGTTTCTGATGCCCGTCCTCAGAGAACCTCGCTGATCTGGACCCATGTCTTTAGTTCCTCCGTACAAACAGAGGAACCTCGTTCTGATGAGCTGGAACCTGTTTCTGTGCAGAGTCTGTGCATCGAGAACGCCTGCATCGCCGCCAACGACAAGACCGGCCGCTTTGCCTCCTTGTTCACGGTGGACAAAGTCCTCGCGCCTCCGATGGGGACGGTCATGGACGTCCTGAAGGCAGACGATCGCTTCAGGTGAGCCCCTTCGGTCAGGGTCTCCTGTCTGCAGTCTGCCCCCTACAGGCAGGGATCTGCAGCAGCACCCAACTGATTAATGAAAAGGGTGTTTCTCCTTCCCCCAGCCTTCTGGTTGGAGCCATCCAGACTGCAGGCCTGACGGAGCTGCTCAACCAGCAGGGGGCGCTCACCTTCTTCGCTCCCACCAACCAAGCGTTCAGCGCACTGCCGCAGGCCGAGCTCAGCAACCTGATGCGTGAGTGCTGAGGTGTTTAAAACAGGTTGCAGTCAAACAACTTTGTGCTTAAAATCAGTTAAACACCAAGACGTTCGGCTCGAGCAGGAAGAGCATCTGATGACTTTTAGTAATTATATCTTTTTTATTTTTTAGCTTTATTTACAAAAGAGTTCCTCATTGAAATACAGCGGGTAAAATAAGTATTGAACACGTCACCATTTTTCTCAGTAAATATATTACTGCTAATTACATGAGCCAGATGTCAGTAACAACCCAAGTGATCCATACATACAAAGAAATCAAACCATAAATGTCCAGAAATGAAGTTATTTGTAATAATGTGGAATGGCACAGGGAAAAAGTA